ATGTATGAATACCAAATAGTTTCTCTGGTGTGAGAAACTGACAGGACCCCCTTTTTTAGTGGTGCTGGGGATGGGATCTAGGTTCTCTCACCACTGAGCTATATTCCAGCCCTATTGATTTTTTACTTATTTTGAGAATAGGGTCTCTCTAAGTCACCCAGGGTGGGCTTGAACTGGTGATCCTCCTGCCTCAGCCTCCTGAGTAGATGGGATCACAGGCTTGGGTTATGGTGCCCAGCAAGACCCAATTTACCTAAGAGACTTTGGCCACCTTTTGAGTTGGTACCATGTGGAGATTGTTACTTATCACAAAATGAAAAGCTATAAACACAGTATGGATGGAGCTAAATTCATTGCAGTTTTTACAGCTTGGAGGCCTGATCCTGCCAGGGTCCCACTAAGGTCTTTGTGCCAATGCCAGGCCACCCCGCTTTGCTGCTGGGAGGCTCTGAGGATTCCTCTATCACCTCCCCCAGTGCCCAACTCCAAGGTCAGGACGCCTCCTGCTTCCCCTTATGTTGTGCTGTGAGCCAGACAGCGACTGTCCCCTACTCCGGGATTCCTGTGATTCCTGCTGTCCTTCTGGTCCAGGCCTTCCCCAGTTCCCAGGGATGGGCATTCCTGGCCTCCTGCTGGCCAGGCCACACACAACAGTGTCTCTCAGAGCCATAGGGAGCAATTGTGGCTGGGCCACCCTGGCAGGCCTGAGCCTGTGTCCCCACAGAGGGCCCTGGGTCTGAGACCTGATCCTGTGCTTTCCACCTGGACAGCCTGTGGCCTGCACTCCCCACCCAGACACCCACTTCTGTCTGACCCATGTTTTAGCCCTCTTCCTTTTCCTCCTCCTGCTCTGTCACCCTCCTCTTCTCCCTCCTCTTGCTTCTTTCTCTTTCTGGTGCTGGGGTGGAGTCTGGGCTCCTCCCACCTGCATACCCTCAGCACTTGGTGTGCCCTGCCCTGTGTGTCCCCTTTCTCCCCCTACCATGGCCAGAGCACCTGCTCCTGCGTGGGATGATTCTGAGTGGTCCCTAGGTTGGAATTTTAACGTCTATTATTTATTAAACTTGCATTAGAGCAAGTGAGCATGCTCATCTTATGATTGCAGGTCTAGAGCAGGGTTAATTAAGGTGTAAAGCGAGCTGTGCTCAGGGATGGCAGCTACAGCATGTGGATGTGGCAGACTTGGAGGGTGGACAGGACGACTCTAAACCTGGAAGGTGCATTAGGAATGATGGACAGGGATATGAGAGCTAGGCTGACCCATGGATGGAAAGGCAGAGGACAGTCACATGGTGGGTTTAAGACCCCACATCCCGGCTGTGTCCCAGGCCACAGGAAGTGGGGGGGGCACCACTCTGGGGTGGTGAGGGTGCAGCCAGGTACTCGGGTGCATTGTCAGCCCACACAGCTCTGCTCTGGGACCCGAGTCCACTCAGCACTGGGATGAGGAGGGCGCTATTTAAAGCAGGTGGCAGAGGACATGAGGGTCACCAGGTCTGATGCAGGGCTCAGAGTGCAGACAATGCCCTAAATTCTGATCCTCCCCGCACCACCTGGGCACAACAAAAATAGGAGCTGAAGGCGGCGGCTAGACAGTGTGGGGGCATGGAGATGCTCGGTGTCCTAGGTGACAGCAATTTCTCTTCAGCTCTGTCTTCCTGTCCCCATCCACGGGCTTCTGCTCACAAATATGAAGCTCATTTGTAGCCCATAATTCATCCACTCAGCAAATAATTCCTGGCCCGGGCCCCACACAGGCACTAATGACCCCCTCAGACAATAAAGGCAGCTCACAGGCACCCAGGGCTTCCTGAGCAGAGGCCTGCTGTCCCTTTACAGCCAAGGAAACTGGTGTACAGAGATGTTAAGAAACTGGTGGGTCACATTCTCGGTGGCAGGACATGGCCATCCCAGCAGGGCTCCTTCTTGCAACAGTTTGGAGTCTTGTGGGGTGAGAGGTCAGGAAAGAATGTGTTTATAACTGAAGTACCTATGTCTGGGAAGATCTAGAACATCAGACCTTTAAAATGGGTCCTAAGGTTTGAGCAGGAGTTCCCCAGGCCTGGAAGGGTTAGGAGAAGAGAGGCAGACCAGAAATGGCACAAGAGGCTCTGGGAAGTATGCCCCGGGTCCCCAGTTCAAGGGTCACAGTTCCAAGCACCAACCAGTGAGCTTTACTTTTGTTATGAGACAAGGCTTCACTGCACAGCCCAGATGGCCTCGACTTCACCATCCTCTTGCCTCAGCCTCTGGAGTGCTGGGACAACATAGGTGTGTCACTGTCCCTGGCCTCCACTGAACCTCGAGGGCCCCTGATCTTCTTGTCAGCTTGTTCAGAGGGGCACTGACTTTCCAGCCCAAGCCTGCAGGGACACACCCAGGACAGGCATGGAGAATGACCTGTCTCCTCCTCCTGAGCCTCAGGGTCCCCTGTGCAGAGCAGTGCCCACCAACACTTGCCCCTTGAGGCCATCATCCTCATGAAAGCAGAGCTCCCTGACACTGGTTTCCATCAGCTATGGGTTAAGTAGTGTCCTCTAAATTCATATCAAACCTCAGACTGTTGGGAGCAATGCTACATAATTCTAGGGAAAAATCATTTGAGTAGGCCTAGTTCTCCTGCCTACAGGCCAGCCATGACATTCCAGACATAATTGCATTTTGGCCTCTGGTCACAACTGAGACCTCTGTGATCCCCGGAGGCTGTAATCTCCAGGACAAGACCACACCTGTGGGAGATGCCGGGGAGGAACCAAATCTTCATCTGCATAGTTCCTCATGGTTCTTAGATTTCCACTGCCCCCCAGCCTTTTGTTACACGTTGTTTATCCCAATGTGAAGTACTGAACTCTGCATTTCACTTGTTACATTTGTTTCCCGTTGTACTGAATAAAAGGTGCTGCAAGCTAGGGGGGTCTTTGTCTTTGCCGCCCAGAGCAGCACTGATCAGACCCAAAGCTCAGCTGCTTCTCAGCCTCATTTTCCTACCTTTCCTGTAATTCGCCGTGTGCTGCCGTGGCTCGCAGGAGACCAGGACTCACTGCAGAGGTTCTGGTAACGTCCCCTTCCTCTGTTCCCCACATCAGACCGTGGTACTGTTTGGAGATGGTGTCTTATTTTTTTTTTTTTGTACTGGGGATCAAACTCAGGTCCTTACACTTGTGAGGCAGGCGCCAGAGCCACTGAGCTAAACCCTGGTGTCTTGGAGATGGCATCTTTTGTAAGAGTTAATTAAGATGAAGTTATTGTCCTGACAGTGTGGGAGGCTGTGGCAGGAGGATCGAAGTTTTAATTTAGCCTAAGCAATTTGCCCTGAGCCTCTCTCAAAACAAAAAAGGTTGGGGGTGCAGATCATTGCAAAGGCTCTGGGTCCAATCCCCAGTGCTGCAAAACAAAATAAAGTGAAGTTATTAGGGCGGCCCTGACCTTGTAAGAAGAGGATCCTGAGACCCAGGCGGCCCAGGGCAAGCGTGGGAGGACACCGCAGAGGTGGCCTCTGTGAGCCCAGCCGTGGGGACCGTGACCCGCTCTGGCTCGTAGGCGGCCTGCGGCGCCCCCTGTTGGTCGTCTGGCTCCTCGAGGCTCTGCCCTAACCGGATGGGGAGCCAGGGACACTGGGGAGAAGGGAGTCCCCGCTCAGCTGCTCAGAGTTTCCAATCTCCTCCCAAGTGTCTCTATTTTTGTGTTAGGTATTTTTGAGAAAATATACACATGTTCTGGGAGTAGTGGCGCATACTTGTGATCCCAGTACTCGGGAGACTGAAGCAGGAGGATCTCTGCGAGTTCGAGGCCAGCCTGGCCTACATAGTGAAGTTCAAGTCCAGCCTGAACTACATAGCAAGACTCTGTCTCCCAAAAAAAAGAGGCGGGAGGAGGAAGAGGAGATGTTGCTCAGTGGTACAGTATGTGCCCCGCATACGTGAGGCCCTGGTTTCCTCTGGCCTCTGGACCCTCCAGCTCCACTCCCTTTCTCCAGCTACCGCCCCATCAAACTCCACGCTCTCCAGGCCGCAAGCCCCACACCCTCAAAGGCCGGGGTGGAGGGGGGAGGCCGTGGGGTAAGGTTAGGGTTAAAGCTTAGGGCTAGGATTAGAGTAATGTTTAGGACTAGGGTTAGGGCAAGGGTTAAGGTTATGGTTGCATTAAATTTAGGGTTAGAGCTAGAGTTAGGTTTAGGGTTATGGTAATGGTTAGGGGCTGGTAATGGGTCGGGTGATGGCCTGCAGTAAGTTCAGAGTTAGATCTAGAGTTAGGGTTAGGGTTAGAGGTAGGGTTAGGGTAGGGGCCCAGCCCCTCCCAGCCCCCCGGCTACCCCGAGGCGTGAGACCTTCCCTGTTCTGTCTCGCCCATCCTGTGAGGGCGACCCCCGCCTCTCCCAGTTCTGCTGCCGGGTCCCAAGCTGTCTGGCTCCTGGGAGGGGACTCCTGGAGTATTCAGACTGTTGTGGTGCGGCAGAGGATGGGCTGCAGCTTTGCGCACACTGGTGAAGAGCCACCGGGTGTTGGGGCTCAGTTTCCCTGCCGGGACAGCCGCTTAGACAGACACAGCTGGTGCGGCCTCTAAAAGGCGGAGCGCCGGAAGCCCCGCCCCTTACGCGACCTGCCCCTTTCCCAAGGCGCCTGCGCGGACCTCGCATGGCCCTTCCCCCTCGGGAGCTCGCGTGCTCGGCGCTCGGCTGGCGTCTGTCAGTCTCCTTTCCTGTTCCGCAGGCGCGCCTGCCGAGCGCCAAGCAGCCGATGGACATGGCGGCTACGGCTGGATGAGGAGCCCCGCAGGCCCAGAGTCCAGGCCCTCGACAAGATCAGGCTGCGGGCCCGCAGCCGATTTGGTACCGAGGGCCGGCTCTCGGGGGCTCGCTCCGGAGCGGGGTGGCGCGTTCCGGTGTCCGCGCGTGGTCGCGATGTGCGGCAGGCGGTGGTGGATGCAGCCGAGCGGCGCTGGCGGGCGGGACGTTCGTGCGCGGGGTACCTTGCGGTCCGCGGCGGGCGGTGTCGTCAGTCCCCCGCCTGGTCCGCCTCGTCGCGTATCCTTGCGGCCGGGTCTCGGTGGCGGGCGGTGTCCCCGGGACATCTCGGGACGCCGTAGCTCTGAGGCTCGCTGGGGCGCCTGGGGGTGACGGGTGGCTAAGGTTCTGTATAGTGCATACTGATTGTTACGATTTAGGGTTCATTCATTCATGGACTTTTTTTCTTTTGGTATTGGGGACGAAACCAGGGCCTTCACACTGAGCTTCACCCCCAACCCTTTTTATTTTGAGGCAGTCTAGCCAAGTTGCCCTGGCTGCCCTCCAATTTGTGATTCTCCTGCCTCAGCCTCCCGAGTGGTCCTGTGCTGCCGCTGCCGGATCGTGGAGCTTTATTACGGTTCTTGGTTGTGTGTGCCAGGCACAGTGCTAAGCCCTGGTGTGTGGTGCTGGGAAGGACATCGTCCATGCCCTCACAGCTCTTAGGCTTGTACGACTTAATCCCTTCACGTGTGTGCATGTAATGCACACCAAGATAAATGCCTCTCGCTGGACACAGCCTTGAATAAGAGCTGGTTCGGAGGAGCTGAGGTTTGGACCTCCTTGGAGAGGGTCATGGAGCATGAAGGAGGCTACTGGCCACAGCTATCTGTAGAGAGGACAGATAGGACTTGGAGGTGTAGTTTCAGTGATAAGCTGGGACAACGGCTGGGATCTGTGTGGATGTGGTCACTGAGTTTCTTAACTAGAGGGAAAAACAGGCCAGTGTCTCCTTTGTTTATTTTCCGAGTTGCTGCCACCCTCAACTTTGAGAACGGGGTGTTCTCATTGCCCACCAGGGCATCCCCAGCCGAAGGTCACAGGTGCTCCACTGATTTTGGTCCTAGCTTCATGGGGGAGAAGTTCCTCCAGCTCTGTCTGAATTCTCTTTATGGCTGGGAGTCCTTCTGAGGTGACATTGGAAGTGATTTTGCCGGTAAGACAGAAAATGGAATTTAACTTTTATTTTTGAAGCAATGAGAACTTTAGGCTTGCTGTTCAGCTGTCACTGGTTTATTAAATGCAGTAAGCTGGTTGGAGACTAGGTATTCTGCAAATACTTTCTCTTATTTACTATTTGTGAAGAGACAGTCTTGCTGTATTGCCCAGGCAACCTCTTGTCTCTGCCTCCCTGGTAGGTGGGACCGCAGGCACAAACCACTGCACCTAGATGGTTTTCCTTTCTGACCACTGGGTTTCTAATGTTTTTCCTTAAACTGTGGTTGAGGTTTTTGTTTTGTTTTAGTTTTGTGTGTGTGCGTTGTCAGACACTTATCTTTTTCATCTCATTTTTAACACATATGCCTTACAAGTTTCAAGTTTGGCTCAATATAGTATGTGGTTGAATAAGTGATCAAGGTAGGAGGTCAAGTAAAACTTGCACTTTTTTTTTCTTTTTCCAATACAGGGGATCAAACTCAGGACCTTGCACTTGTGAGGCAGGCGTGGCACTACTGAGCTAAATCTCTGGCCCAAACTTGCACTTTTTGATAAGTACATCAGATGTTTCCTTAAGTGGCATAGAAATGATAAAGTTTGATCATTTGGAATGAACGTGAGAGCAGTACCATCAGGTCTCGTTTGCAGGATGTGCTTTCCACATCGAGCAGGGGACCTGTAAGGTCTCATGTTCTGGATTTTGTGTCCTGGTCTAAGGGTATAGGAAACAGTTTTTTTCTGCAGACTGCCAGTGAACATACAACATGTGCCTTGTTGAATTGTGAGAAGAATAAAGAAGATTCTTGGTTTTCACTAATGTGCCTGATTGGCTTTTCCTTCTTTCTTAGAGTTCTTTCTGCTACAGAGAGGAAACCTCACCAAGGGCTGTGACGCCACTTCTTTGACCCCTGTGTGCTGCTTGGATCAGCTGACATTCTGGCAGCCCTGGTCTGAGGAGGAATCAAGCTGACTGTTGGCATGAGGACCCTGTATTCCTGGAATTGAGAGCACACTGCCATGGCTTCGCTGGATGACCCAGGGGATGTGAGAGAGGGCTTCCTCTGCCCCCTGTGCTTGAAGGACCTGCAGTCTTTCTACCAGCTGCAGTCACATTATGAGGAGGAGCACTCGGGGGAAGACCGTGATGTCAAAGGGCAGATTAAAAGTAAGAGCAGGTTCCTGGCTTATCCCGTTCTGTCTCTGAGGGTGCTGATTCATGGGATGGTTTCTGTGGGACTCCGTGGTGCACCAGGATGTGATAGTGATAATAGTAGCCAACAGCCATCCTATGCTGTCTATGTGCCAGCCAGTGTTCAGAGTCTCCCTGCACATTTCTCTGAATGTTCCCCCGGCTGTGTGACCATGAGCACCATTTTGCTGATAAGGGTATCAGACACAGAGATGAGATAACTGGCCTCAAGTCACAGTGTGAAGCAGAGCCTGGCTTTGAGTGGAGTAGCTGCAGTCATAGTGACTTGCTGTCCCTTGCTGGATTGTTCGAGTTTTCTTGCTTCCAAGGTTTGGACAAGGATGCTTTTGTATGCTGTGATTTGTGTGTCACAAATTCAAGCCCTTCACCATCCATCCTTCCTTTCCCAACTGGACCTTGCCCTCTCCAGCCCGGAAAAGGAAGGTCATAGTTGAAAAAAAACCCCAAAACCCAAACAACCCAAAAACTTTAGACCTTGGATTTTGAGCTTTTGTAACTCTGGAGAGTTACAGAAAGAATTTTTCAAAGGTGATTTTGACGGTACATAATATGTTTCCTGGATTTCGAGTTCTGATTCTCAAATGAGTCGCTGCTCCTCAGGAACCTGCTTTTTCTAGTTACTTAGCTTACTTGCTTGTACCTGACAGCCTTTCAAAAAGCTGTGAAGATGTGGAGGGACCGGGTGCTGTGTTCATAATCTTTACTAGCTAGAGAGAAAGGAATGATGCTAGGTGTATTGCCAAGTGGGCTCTGGCTTTCAAACATGTGAGTCACATGCACCTTAGAATCAGGTATCTGTCCCTGGAGTTCTACTCCGTGTCTCAGTTCTCAGTTCAAGGGAAAAAGAGTGTTAATAAAAACATTAACAGTTATAACTTACCCCTAAACATGTGAGAGAGGCAGACATTTTCAAAGCCCCAAGAGCTGTCATAATCAAGGTTCCTCCTGGCCATAGAGGTTAGAGCAGAGCTGTCACTTTTAGGAGGAATAAAAACAGCACCGTGCTTTACAATTTTTACAATTTCTTTCCCATACGTGTTATTTCAACAAGTCTGAAGGAAGGTGACTGATCTCATATAGAGGCTCAAGAGATGTTTGGTAACTTATCTAGGGTCACATGGGACTGGCAGAGCTTGGCCTGGGACCCAAATCCTCTGTCCCTTTACCTCCACTGCCACTCTTTCCGCAGTGCCACAGTGCATTACTGATGAGGAAAGGCCCTGTGTTCTTTTTTTTGGTACTGGGGATTGAACTCGGGACCTTGCACTTGCAAGGCAGGCGCCGGAACCAGTGAGCTAAATCCCCGGCCCCGCTGTGTTCTTTGGACAGTGAAAGGGCTTCTTCCCTGGCTCTACCAAGCTGAGTCATATGCCATGCCATTCCTGAGACTGGTCATGCTGGTTCCCCAGTTATGGAGGTAGAGAAGGCCGTCAGGTTCCTCCCATGGCCCTGTTTGAAGAGGACAGATGCTTGAGATAATTTAAGGAATAGAGAAATCTATTCAGAGAGTATGACATAGAGTGGACATTTTGTTCTTTGTGAAAGAAGCTTGAAGCTCCTCTTGAGGGGCTGGGAGCATATCTCAGTACGTGCCTGAAGCCCTGGGCCTGGTCCTGTACCACAAAAACAAACAGAAAGGCCCTCTTGTTTTTTCCCTCCATTTCTGCCTGAAAAGAACTAAGAAATTTGAGTTAAGCATTCCTTTAGGACTAATGGTCATTTCTTTAGTTAGGAAGGAATTTTATGTCAGAATTTTCTGGTTTCAGAATCAGTAAAGTAAAGGAGTTTTTTTGTTGTTGTCTTTGTTTTATCTTTGTTTTGTTTGAGACAGGGATCCTCGGTATGTAGCCTAAGCTGGCCTCAAACTCATGGTGATCCTCCTGCCTCAGCCTCCCAAGTGCTGGGCTTATAGATGTGGGCTACCATGCCCAGCTAGGAAAGTAAAGTTCTAGAGTTTGACATCAAAGATTTTTTTGAAAAACCCTTTCAAAATCAGATCATGTTTCCATTTGGTATTTTGGTCTTTTGAAATTTTATGCATTCATATATATATTTTTTTTGGTACCAGGGATTGAACTCAGGTCCTTGTGCTTTCGAGGCAGGCGGCAGAACCACTGAGCTAAATCCCCAGCCCTGGATTCATATTTTTAGACAACTAAGAAGTTAAAAACCAAAAGAATAAACCTTAGTGTCAGGTTTAAGAGGAAGTTTTAAAAAGAAAGATAAACTAATCATGCTTGAAAAGTGAGCTGTGGGTTGGAGCCCAGTCTGGATTCAGCTTCATTTACAGTAGGTAAAAGAAAAGGCAGTTAATAACCAGCTGTAGCTCTGGTTTGTGTTTTTAAGATTGCATGGTTGGCTCTTGTGGCCACCTCTGGAAGGGCTACACCACTCGGCAGGGTGTGGTACTGTTTCCGTCGAGTGACATGGTTGACTGGCATAGATGGCCTGTGACTCGCCACCATCTAGTTGTGTTTGCAGAAATGAAGTATTGTTTGCTGACTCCAGTTTCCTGTCCGCTGCTTTGTTCACGTGAGGTGGTTTCTTCTCACTGTTGCTCAAGAAGCAACTAGTTTGCAAGCATTGTAAAGGATGTCCATTAGCTGTGGTGTTTTTCCTGTCGGAAGAAGCCCTCCAAGTGACAAATAATTGAAGAATGTAACTGCTGGTAACTGACAAATCTCCCTCCTCTGCCTGGCTCTTGCCCGCAGCACCCCCAAGTCTGCGTCTGTCCCCCTGCCCCACTCTTGAAAGCCCTGGGGGATTTCTGACATTACTGAAGGGACAAACATCAGGAGAATTTTGTGAAGTACTGGTCTGTTAAATGTCATGGTAACAACACTGTTTCATATGAAATCTGAGATTTTCTGTTAGATCCTGTGGTAGATACCTGGGACTTAAGGCCACTAGGAAGAGAGGAGCTTGGGACTGGAAGTGCTTTTTCCCTGCCAGCGACCTACTCTTCAGTTTCAGTGGCAGTTGTCCCCCTTCAGTGGGGCAGGTGGGACCCTCAGTCTGTGGAGGTGCAGGGCTGACCCTGGCTGGCTGGGGTGAGCTGAGCCTCATTTCACAGGGGGGAGCCATCTACTTCCAGCCCTGCTGTCCTGGGCTCTGTGACCTAGGGGAAAGCAGGTTCCCTCAACTCCGATGTGACCTCCTCTGTTGTCCATAGGACTGTTGCTGCCTTAGACAATGAGTGTGAACTGGCATCACGTATTTGGCATCATTGTGCCTGGTACATCCAAAGACTCAATTCAGAAAATGTTCATTTTCTCTTTTTTCCACTGGTACTAAGAATTGAACCCAGGGCCTTCTTATTGGGCTCCATCCCCACTCCTTTTTAAAATTTGTTTATTTAAAGATAGAATTGGGCTGGGACTGCACCTACATTGCAAGTGCAAGGTCCTAAGTTCTATCCCCGGTACCAAAAAAATAAAAATAAAGATAGGGTCTTGCTAAATCACTAAGTTGCCCAGCCTGGCCTGTACTTGTGATCCTCCTGCCTCAGCCTCCCATCGTTTTCTCTTTTTACCAAGCTTGAGTTATGTTGGGGGTTAGGTCTCTTCCTTGCAGCTTTCTATAAATATTCTCACGTGCTCAGGAAGTGGGTAGGCAGAGGTGGAAGAGAAGGTAGCTGTGTCCGGCGAAGGTCATGGGATGGCGGCGGCGGCATCCCATCCTGAGGTAAATGAGAACCATTTATTCATGAGTTCATACTGTAGAGTTGGACCTTTTGGGGATGGTACCTGGGGCCTTACATAGGCTAGGCAAGCACTCTGCCATTGAGCTGCCCAGTCCAGAACTTGACTTGTGGGGAGGCCGTAGAGGCTGCGTGTGTAGCTCAGGAGTGGGGCACTCGCCAGGCATGCACCAGCCCTCCAATCCCAGCCCCACAAGGAAACAGAGGAGCAAACATAACCACTTTTATTCTTTTATTTCATTGCAGTATTGTTTATAGAGAAGTTTCTAAGTGGACAATAAATTTTGAAAATGTGTATAACTACCACTCGGTTTAAGGCGTAGAAAAATGCTTCCGTTATCCTGGTTCCCTCATTGAATTTGATCTTAACCACTCTATTCAGCTGATCTCTTAAGTTTGGTAATGAACAGCCCTTTAGCTTGCATGTAGCACAGAGCCCTGCTTCCTGCTGATACTGACTAGTGCTGCTTACCATATGGTATTCATGTGCTTGCTACTGCATTTTATCAGGGATCCAAATATTTCTTGTCCCCTTTTTTTTTTCATATTGTATTGGGAATTGAACCACCCCAGCTCCTTTGCATGGAGCTGCATCCCTGGCCCTTAAAAAAAAATTTGGAGGGGCTGGGGATTTAGCTCAGTGGTTTCACCGCTTACCCCACAAGTGCAAGGACCTGAGTTCGTTCTCCGGTACAAAAAAATTTTTTTTTTTGAGACAGGGTCTCACTAAGTCACTAAATTGCCCACGTTGGGCCTGAACTTGCAATCCTCCAGCCTCAGCCTCCTGGAGTGCTGGGCTTATAGGCTGACACAGCTTTTTGTGCATTTTAACAAGAATAATTATTTCATCGGCTTTGTTGTTTGATGTTTCCCTTGACTCCCTTGACCTTTTACTGGGTGATGTTGATGGTTCACTTTTCCTGTTTGTTGTTTTTCAAGGTCTTTTCCAGAAGGCTAAGAAAGCAAAGAACAAGTTGCTGAGACGGGAAGGGGATGAGCAAGCAGAGCCAGGGGCTCCAGGATATGAATCCTTCAGCAATGGAGGGGTTGACCCTTACATGTGGGAGCCCCAGGAGCTTGGTAAGAAACTCTTTCTCGTTGACATGCGCATTCACTCCACAGACAGGAACTGAGCACCTCCTGTGTTCTGGGTGATGTTTTCAGAGTTGGCTAAGGAGGCATTGGTGAACCCAAGGGCTGAGTTTCTCGTGGCTCTCACGTCCAATAGGAGCTTCGTCCCTTGTATTGGGCCCTGCATTAATGCACTCTGTATCAAGCACATTGCATCCTCTTGTGCCAGGGGACCTGCCCAGGCCATGCAACCTTAAACTGCAGAAGTGGCTGTGATTCAGGCTTTCTGTGGCTGCCTTGGCACCTGGGTGTGGCCTCCAGGGTGAGTCTGTCCCCTGCTGTTGCTCATAACTGCGTTGAGAGGCCTGGGGAGGCAGCCTACTTACTGAGATACTTCCTTACTTCCTGTGGCACCATCTGCTGGCTTTCAAGGGGATCATCCTGTCAGGTGTGGATACATTGTAAAATTGCTTGTGATGTTGCTCAGCCTGCGGTACACCAAAACCTTGAAGCGTATGCTTTAAGTCGCAAATGGTGTGTATGTGAATTATGTTTCAGTGAAGCTATTGGCAAAAAGATCATGCTATTAACTGTGTTGAACTCTGCAGTCTTACATGTCTTTTAACTGCTGGATGATTGCAGTCATTAATGGGGGAGCTTGTGGGTGGTAAGCATGCACTCTGCCCTGAGCTACATCTCTAGCTCGGTGAGATGTTTTCTGTCTTTGAAGCGGATAAACAAGGGTTCTTTCACAGTTCTCCCCGAACCTTCTCCCACTCCCTCCCTTCCCCCTCCCCCCAAATATACACACATATATATATATATGTATATGCATGCACACATGTTTGTTCGTTTTTGCTTGCTTTTTTTGTGGTACCAGGGATCGAACTCAGGACCTTGCACTAACAAGGCAGGCGCGGCACCTCTGAGCTAAATCCCCAGCTCTGTTTGTTTGTTTTTTGAGATGGTCTCGCCTTGAAGTCCAGGCTAGCCTTGAATTTGCTATGTGGCCCAAACTGGCCTTGAACTTTGGCAATCCTCTTGGCTCAGGCTCCTGAGTGCTGGGATCTCAGGTGTGCACCACCACACCAAGCAGTGTTATTAATTCACCTTTTTTTGTGTGTGGTGATGGCTACTAGCCATCTGCTGTCCACATGAAACCAAGTCATGCTGAAATAAAACCCAGCCCTTTCCTCAGCTGCATCCTAGCTACATTCCATGTGTTCTGTGCCCCTGCTGCCCAGGGTCCACTGTGTTAGAGAGGGGAAACATTTCATCATTTCGGGAAGAAGTAGCTTTAAATATATTGCTGTATGTAACTAGTTATGTGTCACACATATAAGACCCTTAGGAACATGAAGGAGAAATTTCACACATGTGGACTCTTACTGGCTTTGTGATGGTTTATTTCAAGATTGGCAAAGTCAGGTTACCAGTGTGGTTTTCTGATTAACTTGTCTATTTGAACACCCGAAGGAAATCAAAAATTGAAATTAATGTTTATAATCACACCTAATAATTCTAAACTAAAATTTAATTTAAAAATTTAAACTAAATTTAATTAAAAATTTAAACTAAAATTTAATTAGCTCTTAGAGTATGGTTAGAGAAGAAAAGACAGGAATGGTCAAGAATATAACATTTGGAGATGTTGGTCAAAGGATATAAAATTTCAGACAGGAGGTTAAGTTTGAGAGATCTATGGCACAACATGGTGACTCTCATTAGAAAAACGGTGTATTCCTCAAACTTGCTAAGAGTAGATTCTGAACTGTTCTCACCACAGTGAATGAGGTAAGACATATTGATGAGCTTGGTTTAGCCATTCCGTGTTACACATCAAAAGATGTGTAACAATAAATATACGTGACATATAGTTGTCAATTAATATTTTTTCCACTTAACATTTTAAAAAGCATAGTATGTGATGAATACCAACTGTGACCCAAGGAATGCGTAACTGGCTGGTGCTGACAGGTCAGAGGGGAGCGCTGGTTTCCTGGAGGAGATGGGGTAGAGCAGGGCGTATTTCAGGTCCACTGAAGTGACGAGTGACATGATTGCATTTTTGGGGCGACCTTTGTCTTGGTCTTGGCTGCTGGACTGAGGAAGTGTCAGCTCAGCTGGCTGCCTCATGGGCATCTGTGAGCCCTTACCGAGATTGTTTTTATTATAATTAAAGGTTGTTTCGTACCTACTTTAGAAAGTACGGAAAAATGAGAGAATAAAAAACTGATCCCGTAACGTTACTGGGCTTTTTATTTAACAGACATTCATGCACCTGTCCATGTTTTAAGGACTTTGTTTAACCTGCACAACAGCCCTATGAAGTAGAAAGCAAGGTTGTACATCTCAGGCTGAGTCTCCTGGGTCACACAGAGGCTGAGTGACTTGTCTGAGGTCATAGGGTACGGAGCTGCAGCTTGGGTGCAGGCTGGCCCCAGAGCCCAGGCCCTGTCTGCTGTACTGGAAGCCTCCAGTGGCCACGGTTAGCAAGTCAGCAGACTTCTTCAGTTTTCAGCAGAACACAAAAATTCTACAAGTTTCTTTTTTTCTCCTTTTATTGGTACATTTTAGGTATACAACACATTTACATTTCTCTTGGGAACTTGTACCTTTACATGATGCATCTTGGTTCTTATTTTTTCCCCATTCCCTGTACTTCCTTCACCCCTCCACCCTTCCCTATTTACAA